TTGTTTTTGCAAATCTGAATGAATGTCAGATCACATTTTCAGATTTACACTTTATGGAGCACACTTTTCTCTGATGATTTGCAGTGCCTTCTAACAAGGCACATTTACATAGCTTTTGGCAGGACTTTCCCCGCCGAAGGGGAAAAGTGATTTATTTTTCCTTGCTAATTACACTTGTAACTATACTTAAAATCAGGGAAAGTGAACGGGCTGAAAAGCTGACCCTAAACTATATGTGGGAGGCAGGGTGCCAAGAAGTATTGAAACACATGTGAGTTGTGTTTTCTTAGCAGGAAAGGCAGCAATTGTGAACACTCGAGGATATCTCCGCTGGGTGGTAAAGCTGACAGCAGAAAATCAAAGAAATCTTAGCACTAAGGCAACAGTATAACAAAAAATATGCGTCAGCTCTCCATGGCCATGCAGATTATTGCTGAGATAAGACTGTGATAGAGGTTAAGAATTCTTTCCCAGTATGGTGTTGATATTGCAAAAGCTTTAATCTGTTGTTCTTTGCCTTTTGGATCTCTTGCTGCAGAATACAAACACTAACAAGTCGACAAAAGCTGTGTTTGCACATGATGACCACTTGCAAACTAGCATTTTAAGTTCAAGTTTAGACATACGAGCACGCAAAGCAAAATGAAGTGGAAAGCTATGATTTTAATGGAGATTTAATCTCTTTTGTTCTTTGACCTTTTGTGGCTCTCAGAACACATCAACACTTCTGTCGCATGAATTGCCTTGTTGGCTTAGTTCGTGCTGATTCAGCCAAGCAGGCATTCAAGTGCATCTAGAAGTGTACATTTTGATGGCATTTTGCACTCTTCCTAGCAGCAAGTACTGTAAGCACTGCCTGACGGGGCATAAATCCTGTGAATCAGCACAGGCCTCAGCTGAGATCCCAAACATAGTGATACCAGCAGCTGGATGGAAAGAGCCTCATAGCCCAGTTAGAAACCAGCTTGAGAAAGCAACCACTCAAATTGCTGGCAGTTCACTGAGTCTGGGGGAGCCACCAAGCCTGAGGAGCATCTTCTCTTCAGAAGACCAAAAAAAGGCACTTGAGTAGAGCTATAACATTCCATAATAAAGCCTTCCCAAATCTGATTGATAAGAAAATAACATACTGCAGTTGCTCTTTCATAGGCATTTTTCAGTCCTTAACAGACATGCTTTTTTTTTTCTTCTTCCCTTTTATGCTACGAAGTCTGCTCAACCAACAGCCCTACAGTGGCTGTCTGCTAGTTAAAAGTGCAACAGAAACTGAGTTACTGCAAAAGGACCCCTCCACAGAAAGCATGAGCTGGCTGAGGCCCTCTGCGATGGTGATCAGGCAAGGTGGAGCCAGCAGCAACTTGTGGATTATCTGTGTGATGACAGGTCTCACATTCTCTCACACCAGACTCTTCAAAACAACCAGGTTTCTGGGATTTCTCATTACAGTCTATCTCCCTTCTGTGCCCTCCTCTCAAAAATTCAGCTATGCCTTAATGATACACTAAAAGAAATTAGGAAATTCTCTCCAGGCATTTGTGTATCCAAGCTGCAATTGCAGGTCTGGATATTAGCAGGGATATGTGGTATAACAAGAATATTATATGGAAGAAAAAGGTCTGGTAAAATAAAAATAGGTTGATTTTGTATTTGAAAGCTGAAAGATGATTGGTACAAATGTTTCACAACACTGGAGATCACAAAAAAAAAAAAAAAAAAAAAAAAAAAAAAAAAAAAAAACACAGATGAGTGTTTACCAGCTTTAAAAAAGACAGCTTGTAAGGTTCAGGTGCAAAACAGAAACCACAGGTGTAGTCTTGAGAGTTTATCATTTAAGTGGCTCAGCTCCAGAGGGAGGAAAAGTTAAATCTATTATATGTAAAGAATCAGCATGATTTAGGAATATCCTGGGTACAGAAATTTAGAGAGCTGTCTGAGTTCAGTAGCATTCATGTCACAGGCCAGTGAGAGCTGTGGGGGTAGAACTGTCCATCTGATGATGAAAAGAGGTAACAGAATGCGTGCATGGTACTGAGGGGGTTGGGGGGGAGCTGTTACCCATGTGGGCCAGAGTATCCTACGTATGATAAAATGCCTTAGATGCTTTCCTCACATGGTGAAATTCTTAAGGCTGGATCTTATATTTAGTAGGACAAATCCTTTTATTCTCCTTCATCACGATGCTTCTCTAAGGCAGCTCCAGCTTCTGTTTGGGTATCGCCACCTCCCCATGTTTACTGCAACTATGCCACAGCTGCCTTCAGAGCATGCTTTGGTCAGTTATCATTTTAACTTTTTGACTTCTTGTTTCTTTCTGTTTTATATTTTCAGAAGTACTGAGGCAGGAAAAAATTAGGTGACCAGAAAAGAGCCTATCTTAGGTATGTGATATACACACATCTATCTGAAAATTAAGACATATGACCTGCTGTTTTTTCAGAATTCCCATGGCAGAGCAGCTCACTGGGCTGCCAGCTTTTGCCATCTGTCAGGCATAGTTCTCACACTTCATAAGGCTGACTTTCACACTGGTGCTATTTTCCTTAACAGTTAATAAATTCCATCCAAATCTCAAAGTGTTTCACATAGTTAGCTGAAGAATACCTCTGATAAGGCATGCTTGTGTAGCTTAACAGACCTCCGAAGAATGAATGTCATGCCGGCTTTTCCATTGAAGGAAATACAGATAATGATCCTGAACGGTGAATGCTGAAACCATGTGATTAAATAAGAGAATGTACTGCAGAAGGCTTAAAAGGAAATAAGTACTGGAACTGAACTAATTTTTAGAGGATGTCAGCCACCTATTTCAAGTTGTATTTCAGTTAAATAATTGGATTCGTATACATAGTGTTAAATACAGACTATACATCACAGTGGAAAAAAAAAAAGTTTATGTATTTTGCGTGCATTTCATCACTTTCAAGAGAACAAAATTCATGGAACTGCTTTTGGAAAACCATCATTAGGCACTAGAAGATTGCCATCTGTTTTCTTTCTTTTCTTCCAATGAAGATGAAACAGACTCACCACACCCAAGCATTTCAATCCTTGCAAATAAAGATAATTTTGTATATTGTTATACATAAGGAAAAGGTCTGAGTAACCTACAAGATTGCAGGTTCCTCTCTGTTTGAATCACCTTCAAATATAAGAATACATGGGATTCCCTTTTGGGTCACACCCGTGGGCCACTTAGCCCAGTAGTACTACTTAGACTGGGGCAAAGTGAGATGAGCACATGAGCCTGGGGCAATACCTGTGGTCCCTTTCCCAGTATCCGGAATTGTTGTATTAGGAATGTTAGAGGATGCAGGCTTGCCTACTCTGTATATAGTCCATGTATAGACTTGCTGTCCTTGAATTTGTCCAATCCCCTTTGACTTTCTTGATACTGTTTCCACAGTCTCTTGTGGCAGCAAGCTCCAGAATCTGAGTACCTGCTGTGTAAAGAACTTTCTTTTATCTGTTTAAAAGGGATACTGGTTTCACTGGGTGCTCCACACCTTTGGTATTGCAGGATTTGGTGAATGACATTTTCAGCACTCACCCCATTGATCATTTTCATGATTTTGTAAACCTGAATTACCAGCTTCTCCAGCCTTCTCTTTCCCAAACTGAACAAATTCATCCCTCCCCTTACAAGACAGCCATCTCAGCCCTCTGGTCATTTCACTTGCTCTTCCCTCAACTGACTTTAGCTCCTGGAGTTGTCAAGACCAGGCTGCACAAACAACCCAAGAGGTGGTCTCTCCAAGATTTTAAATAGCAGCTAAATGAAGTCTTTACATTAATCTATACTGAAGCTCATCTCCCAGGTTTGACCCACTCAATTTCATGAAGTTGTTGCAGAGTTCTTCACAATTTCTCATTCTTCATATACCATGGAAAATTAATATCTTTAATAGTGTCATTTATAAATATCGTTCATGTATTTCATGACAGACCAATAGAAGATACTGCTGCACTGCTTATTTTATTTTAATTATTGACCTCAAATGTTTGTATTTGGCTAGGGCAGGGCTTCCCACAGAGATACAGGTGGAATAGGCTGATAGTCTTGAGGAAAATCTTGTTGATCCTGCTTGGAGCTCACAGATGTTTGTTTAGACAATTTCCATGCCAAGTTCTATACCAGTGCTGTATCTCAGGCAACTCTTCATCTTATTTGTTTGTCACTCTCCTTAGGTATCCATTTGACCTTAGGTTTCAGTTGTCCTGCCTCTAAGACTATGGATTGACCTAACTGACCTAAACTGTTTTTTCTGGAAATGGGACAACTCAGCAAAATTGTAATGAACTTACACAAATGTATCTGAGATTATTTAGCTTGAAGTATGCAGTAATGTGCACAAATAAATAACATTTTCATAAAACAAATCAAATTACTTTGTACAGGAAAGAATGTTTAAAAATATTTCAACATCTTTGTGTTTCTCATTAGTCTCTCTTGGATCATGAAAAAAATGTAAACTTCAGAGACTAGAAGTTCTGAGGCTACTTTAACTCTGTGTGAGTCTCCATGCCACATAGATTTCAGTGCCCTTCTGCTGCTTCTGTACTTGCTCGATGTCTGTTATAGTTTACTAGTCATTGATGTATACTTCTCTTCTGGCATCATAAATGGTCATGGCCTTTTCTGCTCAACATCTGTGTAAGTTGACATTGCCACCATGGCTAAAGAATACAGTAATACTGCTGATGCAGAGATCAGAAGCTCCACAGCCAAAGAGAAACAGCTTAGAGTTACAAGTCTCGAGAGTAAACACAAAATATTTCCACGGGAAGAGCTTCATAATATAATTTGGATTGTTTCTCTGAAGATGCAGTTTCAAGGCCATAGTTTTTTTTTTTAAAGTATCTAATAATCCACACAGGACTTTAATATGTATTGCAATTTTGTTATTTCAGCTTAGAGAACTGATCTGAAACTTGATGAAGACACTATTTTATTTTGTATATTCCTGACCATCATATGACAAAAGCAGCAGAGAGTCAAACAATCCATTGCTTGTGATAATGCCTTTACTGTTACTATAAAAGGACAAACAAGTTGGTTTTTAAAATGCACAAGTTTCAAATGGAAATTCAGTATGTAATGTAAAACCCATTAAAACCCCTCAGATTTGCTATCACTCTGTTGTCTGGCAGTTTAATGCAGATACAAACATTGCTCTTTTTTGGTACAATTGTAAGGAGAAAACTTTTTATACTATATAGATGCATTAGCAAGGGAAGGGTTAATGCTTTGAGAACAAACGTTGCATCCATAATAAAGTTATGTTTAAACTTCAACTTGCATATACCCAAAATTGAATTTATGTTCACAAACAATAAAATTCTACATGTAAACAGCAAATTACATAAACAATTCACTCTGTATGACCCAAACTGAGTGCACGTTGTAGGAAAAAAAAAAAAAAAGCTAAAGTATATTATATACACATATATGTATGCTCATATTTGCATACACACACATGCAGGAAAGCGTTCCCAGAATTGCTACTGGAAGCTTGTCCTTTAATGTACCCTAAATATGTATTTCCATTTTTAAAACCATGGAATTTACTTTTCTTTAATACAGTGCATTATAGAATATAGAATATATATATATATATAATATATAAATATATATATATAGAAAAGAGGGAAGTTGCTCTCACAGTGCTCCACAAAAGTTTTCATGTCCTCAGCTTCTGAAACGTTTAGGATTATTAACTTGCTGGCAAGCTCCTGAGGAATTTCAAGGCATCTGTGCCTGTGCTACTTATTTTAAGCTCTGTCTTCCAATGTTATGAAATCAGCAAACCCTCTTGACTTTCTTAGTAATTACATTTTATGTGGTTCTGGCTTTCAGGCAGATTCAAGAATGACATAATCTTCTTTTCCCACCCACAGATTTTGGACTGTTGCTGTTGGTTACACCCTTCCGAGTAATGTGCAACATGAATCTGTCTGATCCCATATGCCCATAAATGGAAGGCAGCCCAGCAAAGATGACTAAAGCCCAGTTTCTTGGCTTTCTGTTGATCACCACCATAGATAGAGCAAGGCCTGTTCATTTTTTTTCCTGTCTGTTAATACACCTCTGAAAAATGTAGATGAAGGACAGGTAACGACAGAGTCACTGCACCAAGCCTGTTGGAGTTTAAGAAGCATTTGGACTGTGTAGTTAGTCACGTGGTCTGAATTTTTGGGTAGACCTGTGTGGTGCCATGAGTTGGACTTGATGATCCTTGTGGGTCCCTTTCAGCTTGAGATATTCTATGATTCTATGATTATTTAGGCTTCTGTACTGGAATGTCAGTCCAACGTCATGCTGTTTTACAAGGAAATGGACTAATTTTTCAATACACTTTACTCCTGTTACCGAGGGGTGAGCAGGTATCTTGAATATCGTAGCAGTGAATAAAGTTCTTCTACTGTACTTTTTACTGGAGCATTTATGTAAATGCACTCAAAAAGTAGAGAATTCTCCACTTGAGTAAAAAAATAAATAAAATAAAATAAAATAAAATAAAATAAAATAAAATAAAATAAAATAAAATAAAATTAGAACTTGGCTAGTATGTACTTATAAGCACTATAGCAATCATACTTTGTATTATTAGCAGTACTGGATTCAAGTACCAAGCTATGTCGCAACAGGATAAACATCATAAAGAAAGGCACTTTCTGAAGTTTGTTATCAACATTATTAAATTCAAAACATTTTACAGTCCAGTCCCAATGACAGCCTCAGCAAGTCTCTCCCGACTTCCTGAAGACAACAAGAGTGTTTGTAGGAGTAGGAAATACAACTTTTTTATACAGCAGACACAGCAAGGCTTCCAGCTACGCATACTGTAATGCTAAGGCATGATCATAAGGTGAGAGTAGGATGCAGCATGCACAGAATGCCTTGTCCTAGACCCAAAGTCAGAGTTTCAGAGAAAGAAGTACTCCCTGGTCCTTGGAAAGGGCAATATGTGCAGCACTGACACAGTTCAGCTTGCCCTGGCCATTCATCCTGGGCTCATGGGTGCCTGCAGAAGTTCTGAAAAGACATTATATGCCTCTCTGGTCCATATAGGATAGAGGGTGAGACAACTGTCCATCCCCTTGTACTTTCCACAAAATCTAGGCATCATTCTGCCCTGCAGATTAGCTCTAATTACAAGTTGGTCTCTATGCCTCTGCCACAAAAAAAAAAAAAAAAAAAAAAAAAAAAAAAAAAAAGTAAAAAACACCATTCCTTTCCAAAGGCAATTCATCTGCAGCATCCATCTCCTCATCTCCACAATCTCCACAAGATCCCGTCTTTACAACTATGTTTTTTCATAACTTGGTCATACTGTTAAGGACAGCACCATTGTTACTTGGGCCTCTTAAGCTCAAGACTACCAAAGAACTTTGCTCTAAGCATAGCTTCAGGGCAATTACTCACTCCGTGGCAATTACACTGTTGTTTTAAGAACTGGCATTTATTGCTAGTCAAATAAAAAAAGTCCATATCATACTCAAGGAACACTAGTCCATGTCTAGAAGAAATAGAGAAGAATATATAACCTGAAAAGATAAAAAAACACTTGACATCTTTCTATTCTTGGGTAATGTTCAACTCTGGAAAAAGAAAAAAAAAAAAAAGGTTATTATGAGTCAATGACTTTGCATCAGGATCACAGAATCATAGAATGGTCTGGGTTGGAAGGGACCTTGAGGATCATATAATTCCAACCCCCCTGACATGGGCAGAGACACCTCCCACCAGACCAGGATGCTCAAAGCCCCATCTAGCCTGGCCTTGAATATCTCCAGGAATGGAGCATCCACAGCTTCTCTGGGCAGCCTGTGCCTGTGCTTGACCACCCTCACAGTAAATATTTTCTTCTTAATATTTAATCTAAGTCTATTTAGTTTAGTCCATTTAGTTTAAAGCCCATGTCCTATCACTACCTGTCAAAACTACTTGTTAAAACCCCTTGCCCTATCACTACACTCCCTGACCAAAACTCCCTGACCCCAGCTTTCCTGTAAGCCCCCATTATGTACTGGAAGGCCGCTATAAGGTTTCCCTGAAGCCTTCTCTTCTCCAGGTTGAACAACACCAGTTCTCTCCACCTGTCTTCATGGAAGAAGTGCTCTGAATGTGTAGTCTTAGAGGCAGAAGAAGAGAAGCTAGAAGACAAAGTACTCATGGGACATTTTTCATGATCAGGTACACTGCTATATCTTCCCTTGTTCCTCTTCTAAGTTCAGTGCAGGTGAAAGTCATAATTTTCACTCCCAGCAGAGTGTGATAATCCAATTGAACATGTATATAGCAGGAAGAAAACTGTGAGATAGGCTAGAAAATAGGACAAATTGATTGTAACGGTCACCAAAGACTGAAATTCATGATAAATGCAACAGGAATTCCATGTGAAATGGATTGAGAGATTATTTTTTTTCTCTAGGCTCAGGTCAAAATGCAAGCTACAGTAACATCTTTATTTCTGTGACAGAAATTACCTGGCTAATTTGTTACAACATTTCAAGAAAGGGATAATATGAAAGCCCTATACAATTCTACTTTGGTGCAATCAAAAAGTCCAAGGCACTCTAAAACATGGCCTCTCAAGGTAATTGGTAAGTTCTAGGAAGTTTTTACAAATGTATCTGCCCTTTACTGACAGAAAATAAAAGATTATTTAGATGACCAAGCTCTTAATGAGATCTATTTCTTCTAGTAATGCAATTCTTGTTAATAGCTCTTTTGATAATAAGAATGAAAATCTGTTTTAGCTGCAGTGGAATTGTAGTTATTTAAGACATTAAATTCACCCACATTAAGATGAATATTAAACATTTTAGTTTCTCATAATGACAAACAATAATATTATACAAGCACTTTCATTTTTTTAAATGTTATACACACTATGTTTTTTTTACTATACATGAAGACAAGAGTAGCTATGAAACCATTCAACTTCTGCCATCATCTCATGGCAAAAAGATAATAGATATTCGTTTAGAAAGACAGTAAGAACCTTATTAAACAGACAGGTAGAAAGTATATGTGAGGACAGACTATATCAGTTGATTTGTAACAGAGTATTTGCTGGAACAGATTGAGGCTAAGAATCTAAAGTGCTTGTCCAAGCCTAACAACCTTACCTGTATGAAAACTTGGGGCAAGTCATCAGCTGGAATCATCACCCCACAATGGTCAGTCTTAACAGAAAACCTGAGCCTGAATTGCTGGCAAGAGCTGAGCAAGCAGCACAAACAACATTTTCTGTTCTGATTTTAACAATGCTCACATCATTATTGCATCTGCCTTTCATTAGTATTCTAAAAAATCATGTAAAGAACATTGCAAAAACAAAATGTGTATACTTACTTTAGCAAAATATTTTCACAAAGCTAAAGCTAAATAGCTAAAAAAGAAATGGTAGTACTAAAGGATGATTCTGTGAGTAACACCCAGTTAATCAATAGAAATATCAGACAATCCATCCACACATCAAACCAATCCATACTGAAAATAGTATGTTGTAACAAATGACTCATGACAAAGTGTACTCCATACTGTACAGGGAAAAACTGCATTTGTCAAATTAATTATTATTGTTAAAGCCATGCTCTCCTTGTTGTGAATCTAAATTTTATTCACATCCAATAGAAATATTGGATTGCATTTAAAAGAGTTGAATCTAGTCCTTAGATTTCAAAAGATCAAAATAAAATACATTTGGAAATGTTGGAATTTTAGTGTTCTTAATCAAAAAGATAAATTCCTGTACTAAGTATGTTTCACTATGTAGATACGATGGCAGTTTTCAGTGATGTGTTAAGTGCCTAAAATCTCTGTTCCCATTTAAATTTGCAATAAAACTTTTACTGACTTGAATGATGAGAGTAAGAGTAATCCAGACTAATGTACTGAAAATACTGTTGCTAATTCTGAAGCATATTAACAGAAGGAGTGTTCGTGGTGCATGCACATTACTATATCATTTATTGTACTATTTGATTTTTTTTCATTTCATTTCACTGGTGACATAGAACCTCACTGTGTTGAGCTGCAGCTGACATTTAAATGATGCTTTTAAACCATTCAAGACTTCTTATTTAAAAATAAACTTGAAAGTTTGGAAAAATAAAAATTAAATAAGCCTATGAAGTAAATCAATTTAACTGTCAGTTTTGCCTCACAAAATTTTTTAAAGCCTGTCCCTCAGAAGCTCATTCATTCATGGGCAATACTTTGGCTCCATGTGCATTTATATAAGTAAGAAGAATTTTGGACCTCCTTTCTATTACATCAATAAGCTTTTCAATTCCTTTCCTGCCTCCTTGGCTCTCCCAGTATACTTTGTCAAGGAACAAAGACTGAAGCAACTTCTCCCGTAAACGCTGGCTCCTCAGCACTGAAACTGCAGATTCAGGAAATCTGGAAAAGCACAAAGAAAATCATCAGTTTTGCCATCACTCTGAATTGCAATAATCATGTTGTGGTTTAGCAATTGAATTTATGAATATAGCCTGCGACTCAGGAGAGGAAGTCCATGCATGACTAATCATATGCATGTTAATTGTATCTCTTACACAAGTAGAGTTAGTCATACATTTTTAGACATCCTGTAATTCACAAAATGCTTCATGGGCTGATGATATTTATTACAGTAACTTAGTGTCCCTTGCTTTTTGATTATAGTATGGTAACTCAGAGCAGTGCAAATTGCTTACAGAAGAGGTTTCCACAGAAACAAGTTTACATTAGTGGAGTTGAGACTTTCCTGTGTTACATCAGTCATGCCTTTATAGGTAAGGCATGAATCTGTTCTGTAAAGCCCTGGCAACTTGCAGATGCTACAGGTAATAAACTGAAAGTGTGTTTAGGGTAAACATAACTAAGCTTCACTGACAAATTAGATCTCCCCATGGACCTGGCAGAAGAAACCTGGAGTTAATGTAACACTGACACAGTAATAGTATCTCTCATGCAGCTTAGGGAGCAGGACAAATCTCTCCTACTCCAAGTACCCAGGCACTCTCTGTGAGCAGTGCTTTATTCCTACTAAATGCTGAGGAGAGATTTTCCTTCCAACTGCAATCCCAGGAAGAAATTATCCATCTTTTTACAAAATTAATAACTTAAAACTTACTCATTGATTCCTTGCAGTATTTTGAAGTCAAGATTGTCCTCGCTTCTGTCAAAGAAACCATTATTGTCTATAAAGGCCAAGTGCCTTCGGTCATGCCTTCTCTGCACTATGTGTGTCAGGTCGACAGCATCCTGATCGCTGCATTTCAGCGTCAGACCTTGCTGCACGCAGGAATCTTCCTTCAGAGGTTTGAATCCGCAGCAGTTTCTGTCTAGCCGGTTATAGATCTAAAACCAAGCACAGCAGAGCGCCGACTGAAAACAACTTCAAAGGATTTGGGGCACAGTGCCACTGTCAGACTTTGCTCACTAACCCAGCTGGCAGGAAAGCAAACTCAGAACAAGCATAGTTAAAGAGAGCAGTGAAATGGCATTAAAGACCTTGTCTCCAAATTTCATATACTCTTTGAAGCAATTTGCCAGGCTACATATTGTATCCATTTGATGGCCATGATTTGTTATGTCAGTAGACATTCCTTGAAAACAATGGAACAATAGGACTTTGTAATAAGATGGGGAATACAATTCAATAGAAATAGCACAGCCTGACATACACGAAGGGCCTCTATTTTGTAGACTCTAACAGACTTAAACATGCAAAAAAAAAAAATATATTGAAAAGATGAGCAAGGGGCACATTAAGTTAGTCACCAGAAGCTACCAAATGCAGGAAGGAGGAGTGCATTTCTAAGCACAGAGAAGCCTCTGTGAGCTGCCCTGTGGTGCATATTTCAATGACATCATGGCCCAGACTATTGTTTCACACGCAAATGCTCACTTATTCATCATGCAGCACTTAGCTGGGAGGAATACATCTGGTCTAACTTTAGCGGTGTAAATGCTAAGCATCTCTCCTGACCTAGTCATTTCTGTTTCTTACGTAAACAATGACAAGTACTAGGCACCCCCAGTGCAAAGGATGCCATTTTAGGATAACTGTCTTGCATGGGAAGGATAAATCACTCTTTACAGGTACTTCTACCCTCTGGTGTGTAGATGAGAATAAATGCCCAGCATTGCCAGGGCCCTGAGTGCACAGATAGGCCTTAATTGGCCTAATCAGCCTCAAATGGGACCTCCATACCCACATCCACCCTCTCTCTGCCCATTGGCCCAGGAGCCCTATACAAGTTCAGGCTCAGGCCCTCAGTTCTCCTCTGGACCTTGCTGTGGGAGCACCTGCTCCTCATCCTGTTACCTGGTGCTCCTGGATTGCTGCTTCGTGGCCCTGGAGCTGGATTGCCACCTTGTCTCTGCCTGATGCTCACAGAGGGATCCACTGTCATTCCTTCTGGGCTGCCCCTTGTGCCATGGGACCAGCCATGCTGTGTGGATGACCTGTCCTGGCTTCCCCTGGGGAGCAGCCCTGCTTTTGCTTACTTCTATTTACAGAGCAGAAGGCAGATAAGGTTTAATGCGTAGCTAATTAATGTATTTTTTTTTTCCTCGTTTCCTGTGTGCTACTAACTTAAAACTGCTCTAAGCATAAAAATAATAACACTCATGTAAACATGAAACCTTCTAAAGTTAGTCTTATTTTTTGACACCCCACTGAAATGAAGTGTTGTGACTTCTCATGATTTAGAGCTGTGTTTAAAGTTAGAAAGGCCTCCTATTTTTTTTTTTTCATCAGATGAAAGTCCGAGAGTTGTTTGTGTTCTCTTATGTAGCAATATTGCCACTGGTCTTGCTGGCAGTGTTTATTTTCAGCTGAGAAAATCCTGAGGAAAGGAATGGATTTCTCTCTCATCCTTGCTGAGCAGCATTCAGCATCTTCAAGCACAAGAGCCCCTGTTGTTTGCAGTGTTGTAGCTCATTTCTCATTCAATTTATTCGAAGTTTTGCCAAAAAGTGAAGTAGAGATTTACAGACTCCTTTGATGCATAGCCATAATTTGTCTTTACCACACCTCATTACATGCATTAAATAGATGAGGAGATCATGTTCTTGCAGACAGCCTCTTCATAATGCGTTCTGTTAAGGCAGAACACTGGGATACTCTGGAGCTGATGTTGCAACTTTAACAGTTTAACACTGATTTCTGTCATGTATTTATGTATGTACATGAGTGCTTCAAAACTCCATAATTAAAAAATAATAATTTTTACTTTTAATGTCCTTACTTTACCTGAGTTCTTGAAGAGGACACTTAAAGGTCAAATACAAGCATTTTTCAGCTTGCTTCTATGTTTTATATTATTTGTTATTTGAATTCAGAAGATAGGAATCTCTTTAAGGGCACCAAAGCCATTCTGATGGAAACATTTTTAAGAAGGAATGCTTCTCACCAGCACTCTTTCTGAAAAAATCATGAAGTGGTTTTTTTAATGTTCTGTAGTTTCCCAGACTAGACTTTGCACTGTTAAAGTATTTTTATTGATATTAAGCCCAGTTTCTGCTATGATTAATTTCAGACTATTATAATCAATGTCCTCTGAATATCTTGAATGCTTTCTTGTTATCTTGATGTTTATGCTCCTCAAAGTCTAAGCTGTTAGGTTATCTTTGCACCACAGTCATGGTAAGCACATTGTAATGTGTATTTTAATGGTTCTTTAAACTCTCTTTAGCTTTTCTGCATCATTGATTCTGATTCAATTTTAAATGCACAGAAAATTTACCTTCAGTAGTGTATTCATGTGATTTTTCTGGGGGAACTGCAAATCCAGGTAGGTTTCTTGGAGGCTCTTGTTACCTTGCTGATGCAGGCAGCTTTTTAACAGAATATTGCAATTGAGACCTCCTGGAGCAAACATCTAACTAAGCAAACTTGATTTTTTTTTTTTTTTGTATGTACGTCTGCACAAAACCATACATAAGAAAGGTGTTAGAAGGTTTTGGCCTTTTCCAGTCTAGAGGTATGCAGATCAGTATGGAAATAACTAGAGACAGGAAAACCTCTTGGTGCATAAAGCCACATATCCTTTACCACAACTGAAGAGTGCAATCATTGAAAAGCTTGAAGTTTTCCACTAAAAACCATCTACCTGGTGGTATGAAGCAGCCCAGGTTAGAAGGGACCTCAAGAGATCATCAGGTCCAACATTAGTATGTATGATAACAGTATAAACATTTGTACCCGCAAGCAGCATTTGCAAGATAATTAGTCTATTAAACAAAGCTACTTGTTTAGTCTATTAAACAAAACCACTAGAATCCTGGCCTCTATTAGGGCTACACGCCATAGCTTGGCATTTTAAACTTGGAAACCCTTCTTAGCATTTTCCATGTTAGAATCGTCTAATGTGCTGCTAGACTTAAGTCTGACAGCACAGGTAAAATCTTAACCTTAAAACTGTAAGACCTTCTTTCACTCTCTGGTATGTACCACCTTCTTTGGTAGGCAAATGGAAGTATAAACTGATACCAGATACAAATGGGGGCAATTTATTTTGTGTACAATTCTATCCTGTTGTACCTTATTTCTGCTGACCTCTCCTTCTGGATAATAAGAATTCTATTATGAAGTTTAAAAACGTGTCTTAGAGGACATTAAAATAAATAAATAAATAAAACAGAACTCATGTGAATTCTCAACCTGTTCAGAAACAAAACAATGGCATGAAAATAATAAAACTGATGCATTATGTACTATTTATATATGGGTATTACTATGTTTAGTACCAAAAAACTCCACGTATGACCTTATACCAGTTTCAGAGGGTTATTTGCTCATAGTGGAACTAAAGATGCAGTCATTAGACAAGTTGACAGTATATTTTTAGAGAAGAATTTCATGCTCTATGTTTAACAAGTCTGCAGAAATGCAATTTTCAGAAAAACATTTGAAGCATCATTCATCCTAAAACAGAGCTGAGAAAGGCAGGGATAGACTATGCATAAAGCAAGGCATGATTTCTGTATTTCAAGAAATGCAACTCTAAAAAGCTGAATTGTATGCAACTGAAATGCAGTGCACAAAACTAGTGCTTACTGTAGTTTTAAATACAGATAGCATTATATAAACCAGTAAGTGGTGCAGGAGGCTTAGCCACTCTGACCTGTCTGGCAGGCAGGGGTGATTGGAAACAGTGCTGTATCTCAGGAAGGTATAAAATCAGCTGCCATCCACATGCATATATATATACATGTAGTCCAGCATTAATGTTCTATTGTATAATTATTGTAACTGTGGTCATGTGGTGTCATAATACCACAAGGCAAAGCCCTAGCATGGTATTATTTAGAGAGCTAATACTTATGTGCAAAACCTAATTGAAGAACAGCAGCTTTGTTGTTCATCAGATACTATTCTACTCCTTCCTCATTCAGTCAAGTTCCTGATCTTTCCATGATTACAAGTTGAATTTTGAATGTTTTAATCATAAACAGAAACAACTTCAAATTGTGCAAATTCATCTCTTCCCCAGTCTTAAAACAAGCGAACCAACTAAAATTATTTTTCTGAGAGTCTATGTGCTCATGTGACTTTTGAGGCAGATATTTGTGTTCTATAAATGTTTTACCTGCAGAAGAAAATCAAAGAGTGCCATCTTGGACCATTCATGATGGTGGATTTCAGTACAGCCCCACTCAGCTTTGGGAACTTTACCATTCTGCCAGCATTTCTGCTTCAATAGTTGCTGATATCTCCCCCAGGTTAATCTCACTGAAGAATGGGTATTGTTATCTGTTGGACTCAGTGAGGAATCCCAGAGAATAACAGGACAGGCTTGACCGGCTGAAAAAGGAAAAACAAAAAATTGCCAGACTGGAGTACTGACAGACTTGCTTGATCTTTCTTTAGACATTGTCTAAGCATCAATAATTATAGCATTTTACAGATGTGGCAGAAAAAATTGCCACAGCCAAATAATTTGACATCCTTTGGTTAATGTGGTCTTATTCCACATCTAAAACCAGCCACCGCAGGAATGGACAAAGAACAGACATTGTAAGTGCCTTCAGTGTACAGAAGACTTTTTCTCTTTGAAGCAGGAGATTAACGTAAAAAGTCATATATTAAACCAAACTATTACAAAGTTCATAGGTAGATTTAGAGCCTACAATGCTGTTGTGAACTAATGCTGCAGGTTTCCCTCACTGCAGAGAACTGATGATGATTCACAAGAGCTGAAAACTTCTCTCAAAGGGTGTTTTCCTGTGTAATGGGCATAAAAGATTACAAATCCTATACTCAAAGTGGATTTATACTGTTTTCTTCTGGTATTGTATGCCTATAATATATGATTTCACAGCCCTGAAATGATGTATGAGAATACTGTAGAATATCAACTTAGCATGAATAAACACCTTGACAAGTATTTTTTATTATACAACTATAACATGAGATAGTACAACAATGATTATGGCCACTTTCTTTAATTCTTTTTCTGTGTAAAGGTTATTCCACTTTTCCCTGAAACTGGTAAGGCACGTAAGTGTCTTAGCTTTGGTGAATTCAAGTGTTTGTAGTATTTAGTGGGAAGTAGCCTCTGCAAAGAATTTAAAATAAGCTAAAATACATTTCACTCAATATCAAATAACAGGCATATGTATCCTCTTTAGGAAAGTGGAGCTTTCTGTTTCACTGCTGATTCAATGCTTCTGTTGCTGCCTTAAGTAGTCAAGGATCCAGGACTGACTGCGGTTTGTACACACTTTAAAACAAAGAAAATATTTATATTTTTGGGTGTAGACAGAAGGCCAGGATACAATGTCTTGGTATGGAAAGGAGGAACCATTTAACTGCAAAGCTGTTAGCTAATAAATAACAGGTGTTGGAACATATGCAAAATTTCAGAATTTATTTGTATTTGTCTTGAATGTCAATAAACCTAAACACCACACTTCTACAATTCATGGGATAGTTTGTGTCTCTACAGGCTGCGTATAACTGTCTTCTGTGTGCTCTTGGACCCAAAGACACATCTGAAAAGAAGCTCTCAATCTCACATGAAAGCAATGAACTTCATGGCAACTTCTTCTCCAGAGGCAACCTGGACAGATGTCTGTACAGAGAAAATTGGCATCTGTGACAAACAGGAAGGTAAAAAAAAAAAAAAAAAGCCAATGCAAATGTTCCATCTGTAAGCAGCATGAATTGCTGATGGATCTCCACTGAGCTGAATCAAAAAGCACTTTCTTCAAAGGATGCTGACTGATCTGAAACAGGTTGGAAATTCTTTGCCCATAATTAGCAGTGAATCATGTGAAGATCTACCTGTTGCCATAAAGCATGATAAGACTCCACATGCAGTCAAGCTCAAATGTGTTCAGTTTCATTAGGAAAAGTGGAGAAAAGCAAAATCTTTTCAAACACCAGAATGTACTTGATGATCTTCTCTCTGACTCAACATGTGCATACAAGGTAGTCCTCAAACTAAACCAAGATGCAGCTCTCCACCTCTTTAACTCCCCTCCTTGTTGCCTGATGTTTCCTTAGGAACCCAGAAGGTGTCCTTTTCTTAGCAACATCAGTCTCTCACTATGGTCAGTACTTCCTTTATCATCATTGTGCACCAGCATCTTTTCTCTGATGGGGGAGGGGAGAATATGAGTGTTGAGCACTGCTGAAAAATCAGGCTTCTCTACTGAGATGCCTGAATAAGCATTGAGGAATTTAAAGTCAGAAACCCTGGCCATTTCCCAATCTCTCTCGCTTTAGCTCCATCACTGACATTGTAGATGACTAGCCAAGTCAGGTCAACTATTAGCTAAGCTACTCTTCCAAAACAGTTGGAGAAAGCATACACAAGCAGTAGGAACTGCCACCAAAAAGCAAAGGACAGCATCCTTTGGGACCGAATCTGATCTTTTATTTTTGTATCTCTGACAGCAGCTTATGTAACTACTCGCAAAATTTTTCCACAAGCCAAACACGTGAACTGTCTTCTAACAAAACAAACATCCCCTGTCTATCTAAAAGGGACATGATAAACAATAGTAATATAAATACTTGAAAAATATGAATAATATCTTGCCAGTTTCCATTAAGACACAAAAACAAATTTAAAAGACCAAGGCTAAATGCAGGAAATGTTTGCATTTCAGAGGAAATGGGAGCAGAAAAGATGAGCCAAAATAAAATCTTTCAACTCTGTAATATAAATTGAATTACAGGAATATGAAGCAGCAGCTTCAGTAAAGAGCAGTGACTCAATTTTTTGACACTGGCAGGAAAAACATGAAGAGGCTGAATTAAAGCAGATAAGGGGGTTGATTAATAGGTGCATGAATTGGTGTAGCAAGGTAGGGAGAGTTGTTTTGCTTCAGACCTCCCAGGCGTGGGGCTGAAGTTAACTGAGCAATGGAAAGCAAGGCCTGACCAGGAGCTCCCAGTCTGACACAGCCAGGATTTAAGGGGTCCAGCACACATCAGAATACATCCAATTGTTCTAGGAGGGCCTCTTTCCTCAGCAGTTTTATATGGTAACATAGAAGGTTATTGCTGTTCTGCTGCTGCAGCTCCGACACTCACAGATGCCACTGCTGCCTGTTACTGAAAGACCTGGGGTCTTAAATAACTTCTGATAAACCCTCCATGAGAGAAGGAAATACTGTGAGGAAGCCACTGAAGCTTGGCCAAAGCAGATTGACTTTAATTTCTTTTCATCTACTGTTTTAGACCCATTTAACTACTCAGCTACCTAAAGATGAAAACATCTGCAAAATTGCATGAGAAGTCTTTTGAAACTTGTATTGGAACCAGCTTCCTAATAATTCAAATGGATTTTTCAGCACCAAAATAGTTCTAAAAATTTCTTTGGCCCTTAGCATCCACTGTGTCAGGGAATGAGCTGAGTAAGCTAACACAAGGGAAACTTCAGGTTGCTGAGGCTAGACTGCCCCAGGGTGCTCAAACTGCTTCATTCACAGCAAGGTAATGTACCCCAGCTTGGCTTCTGTATCAGCATCATCTTAAATATCCAGACACCATATCACTTTAAAAACGGTCTACATGCTTTTAAGCATATTTGTATAGATACTCTTGCAAATGTTATCATACCATATTGTGTACTACCTTATTCCCACAGCATTTTTTCCAACTTTGAAAAAAATACTTTCAAACATTCCCAAGAGAGCTTCAATAAAGAAAGCAGGTCTTTCATGAGGTGGTTAAAGCCCTTTCTCAAGCTCATCACTGTTTGCAGTGATGCAGTACAGTTTACCACTGCCACACTTGAAAGGAACAGTTTAGTTGCCCATGTAGTATCAGGAAGGGATAATTTAGTGTAGAAAGCAGATTTTTATTACTCCCTATTTTGCCCTAACATTAATGAATCATATTACCTTTCCCTGCTTTTGCACAACTCATGGTGCAATGGCCAAGGCAGGCTGATAGTGCAGGGTATAACAGGAAAATCTATGGCTCCATTTATCACATGGAAGCCAATAAAGCAAAACGACAAGTGTACCCAGTGGAGCTGTCTATCACGTGTCATGTGTCTGTTTGCACTAAACTAACCATGAAGGGTTGTTACTCAAAGGAAGAGCTTCTTGCACTTTTCAGGAACAAAAAGTTCTGGGCAAATAGCTCAATCCTCAGCTAAGAAGCCCCACTGGAATGAGTACACCTGAGCTTGCTCCTCTCAGCACAGGATCAAACATACTTAGCCACATTTACCATATCAGAAAACTGGGGGAAAAGAGGTGGTAGTTGGCATGTGGTAGCTCAGGCCTTAAGCAAGAGATGCGACAAAACTGTGCAGTAGTTGCTGTGTTGTGTATCAAAAGCTGAGCAAAGACCTCAGCCTCAACACTAAGGTCCAAGGAACCCAAGTCCTCTCCCTTTGGTGTTGAGTGGCAGAAGAGGAGCAAACCCCTCCAGCTTGTGTTACTTCATCAGTGACTCAAGCCCTAGTGAACCCCAGCATTGTCCTGCCCTGCTGCTGAGCCAGAGGCAAGCTGTGCAGTCATTTTACTTTACTTCTGTGCAAGTTGACTGAGGTTGGTCTGTGCCACCAAGCTGTGCCAAGCAAGGTCACTGATGTCTCCTCTATTCCTTAGGTTAGGACCGTCAAATAATAAAGATTCTCCATCCTATGTTATTAATGTAACCATACCAAAACTCATAAATGCAAGAGCCATCCTCTGCTTTCTCCACAACAGATGGAGCTTTATGATTTTTTTTTTGTTGCTTTACTGGCTAATCCTTCTTGGCTTATAGGTGTTTTGGAGCTCACAGCATGTTCATGCCTTGTAGTTAGCAATAGCAATAATGAATATCTGCTTGTGTGCACCCGGAGTCATTCTCTCTGCCTGTAAGACTGAACTTGCAAGGGCTTTGCTCACCTGTACTCCCCAGGCTATTTACATGTACATTAGATCAATTAACTGCAAAAATATGAGGGAAAGAGTTATCATGCATGATTTTTCCATCCATGATGGAAAAATAATATAGACCACTCAAACATTCAGTTAATACCAAAGAAGGTTTGCAATTAACTAGGAAAAATAAGGGCAGTAGCCAGAGAAATTGCGTACAGTATTTTGCTAGGCTTTTAAAGAAAACACATCAGTGAGGGAATTGAGAGAATAAAGGAAACAAACTCTCTACAGGGATTTACTAAGTGGTTCTTTGAAACTGCTCTGACAAATGAATGACAGTTTTGAGAAGCTCATTTTTTAAGATTTTAATGCTACATCAAACATGTCCTGTTACATCACATCACAACTGAGGCAAGCTAAATGGAGGTGTCGTGGGGAGAGAGATGTCAGCCCAGAAGCTGTGTACATTTGTAGACACACACAATCTCTCCTCCTGCACTGCTCTCTTTCCCATATGAATAACCATGATTATCAGAAGCTGCCCTGCAAAAACCTTTGGTGAGCCCACCTAATCTTATCCTAAGCACATGCAAGTAAGTTACAGAAATAAGCTCACCAGTTGTTCATATTGCTCTTAAGAATATGCTTTTGTTCATTTCCTCAACACAAAGATGTTTTCAAGATTATGCTAAATACAAGCATGCAGATAGTAATGGGTGCAAGTAGCTACGAGGCATCTGAGCTCCAGCATATTTTGAGGCTAAAGAAATGGAGAGAGACAAGGTACAGTAACTGTTCCAAATCCTCTGTTCACCCTTTAGCTGGAAAAAATGAAGTGGGACCAAAATAATGTTATTTCTCTTCTCATCACCTAGCAACACTCTTCTTGCTATAGGAACATAGCCAGTTATGTGGAAAAGAAAATTAAAATGAGCAGAATGACTCTCTCTGTCCCAGACAATCCAAAACACGCTGCAAGGTGACAGACACCGGGCGACACAATGCACAATTAGCCTAATGGGTGCTCACAGGGGCTTGCGGTCTGTCAGCTCTGCAGCCATGCTGGGCACAATTCCTCCAACCGAACTACCTTAACTCCTTGTGACAGCTCTAGAGCAATAAATCTCCTGCCTAAAAATAACCTAGGCATAATGTATCTTCCATGCTTTGCAAGTATGAATAATATTCAGAAGCCACCAAACTGTTATTCCTAGAGATTCATTCACACAGTTGCACAGGCTGCCAAAGGGAAGACTTACACAGTAGGAACAAAGCAGAGATCTCTAGGTCTTCTTCCTGCTGTCAGATTTTAGAAAGTCATTCCTGAATTACTTGTTCGTTGTTGTCCTTTTTTTTTTTTTTTTTTTTGACAGATGGATTGATATAAAAATATTTCCTATAAGCTAATTTCAGCAGCAAGAAATGAACAGCAAAAACAAATAGCTGGCCACTTCAGCAATGATTCATTAAAATGCAACGTAGTCCTTTAGGGTTGTGATTTGCAACTGTACAAAAATAGCAGTTAGGCTGAAGACATTTAACAAGATGGCTATGTTAGAAATAAACTTCTAAAATACATTATGTCTGAAATCTATCTTTAATTTCACCATAGAATAGAAAGCCAAAATTTGCACTGAAAACTGTTTAAACCAATCATGTAAGAGGCATATTGCATTATTTCCTGTATATATTTTTGTCTGCATAATATATAATGTAGGTATGTGTAATGAGCCTCAAAATGTCAAGCTGGATTCACTGAGATGTAGCAATATTTTTTGAATTATCAGGGGAGAGGGAAGATTTTTTTTTTTTTCTGAAAATTGACAGTTTCCAGAGTTAGTAGTAGCATTAAGCTTCTTCAGGAAGTCCCCTACCTTTCCAAGTAGGTTATCTGACAAAATATAAAACACCTTTCCTGTACCATCTGTTCGAGAGATTAATTCTTGTGCTCGCTTTCAATAATATCTTATTGAAGCCAAATCTAAGAGATGAGAAAACAAAACAAAACAAGACAAGCAAAAAAAAAAAATGAAATATTCATCAAATCACCAGGTAATCTTCTGGAATTTCTTTCACCTCTTTAGTCAGTCTGTACAATGCCATGCGATCTACAGATGACTCCCTGTCTTTTTTTGCATTCCATAGTCTCATGGACAGAGAATCATTAGAGCAACTCAATTATTGCATTTAGTCTAAATTTCAGGGTACAGCATCCTTTAGACCGGACAATTACATGGAATAAATTGCAGAAAGATATCAGCTTTACACCCCTGTAATGATTGGGTTAGTTCTCAGACTAGCAGGAGTTAAAGTCTGCTGCTGTCCTGTGGTTAATGTGGGAAGAGGAAGGAAACCTCAGCACCCCATGTGGAAGCTGAAAATCATAGGAATATGTTACCTTGGAAGAACTCCGACTTCCTGCTTACAGAAGGTAAGCTCCTGTTTAGCCCCAAGATCCTATCCAAATGAAAGGCAAACACTTCACTCATGTCAAGAGGTCTTTTGATGATGCCACAGTGCCCTCGATTACAAGCAGCTTCTGTGGTGCTGGGACCCCTCTCAAATACTACCAGGACTGCTTTCTGAGAAGGCACTTCTTGGATGCTCTCTATTGGAGAATCTGCCAGCATACGCATGCTTAGGATATCTTCTTTGCTCAGCCAAGACGGAGAGCTCTCGCTGTAAATCCTGATATTGCTCTCCTCAGCCTGGTGTTGTGCCTTTAGACCTCCAGAAATCCCCCCAGGTCTCTGGTGACCTCGCTTCCCGATTGCCATTTCTTTCTGCCTGTGTTCATCCAGGTGGTGCTTTCCTGCCTGCGGAGCTATTGCTGCTCCCTTTGCACCTGCAGCACGTGTGGCCCTCCCCAGCTGCTGGACAAAGGTCTCTTCCTGGCCAGTGAAAGCAGCTTTTGGAAAGTGCTGCCCATAGGACAAAGGGATTGCATGTTTCTTCCTGCGCTTTGGCTTCACCGTGCCTCTGATGTTGGCAGGCTTGCTGCGCTTGGACCGCAGGGTGATATAAACTACGTTGGGTGGCACCGAGGTCCCATTGCCGCCAAGCTGGGGTTCCTGGAAGCTGGGTGGTGACAGGGTGCCATCCAGTGGGATGCCCAGAAAAGGAGTTTGAGCTGCATCTTGGAGACTTCTGGAACTGAGTTTTTGGTGTCCTCCTTTGTGCTGGGGTAAAACGTGACCCACTTGACTGACAAGGAACCCCAGGTAGATCACACAAGCAGTGCCCACCAGCAGATTCCTCCTTGTCCTCGGTCGCCTGCAGGTCCACAGCCTCAGCACCCGTGGGGAGCAGAGGCAGCAAATAAACAAGTTTTTGATTTTACCTGGCTGATCAAAGAAGGTCATTTCTCTAGCGAATCCACATGATGAAAACAGCATAAAGTCTTCCGCACATTCCAGCCAGGATGATGATGCATGATTTCCCTTCCCCGATTTCTATTTCTCCTTTTCCAAATAGCTTCCAGCATGGATGATGGACAGAGGCTACTGATATGCCTGGGAATGTGTTCAGTGCTAAGGATCCAGACACTCCACCTCTACAAGCTGTTAAATTCTTATCAGCCACCACGGGGCAAGTGATTGGCTTCAGAGAATGAATGGAGCCAGCTACGTAAGCAAAGTTTACTGACTTGTAGCCTAAAATATCTGAAGTTCTCCTTTGAAAACTGCAAAAAGAAAAGAGTTGAGCTGACAGTAGCATTTAATTTCATTACTCATGAAATAGTATCTGTGGTTCTCTATTTTAAGAGTCAAGTTATAGGTGAGACAGTATACATAAATCCAGAAACGTGCCAGAATACATCTTTCATTTTCTAATTACAATACAAATTAAACACCAAAATCATGAAGTACAGGCTCATTTTGCAATCTCAGCTAGATGTATTCCAGCATTAAAAGAAAAGCTTTCAAACACAGATCATTATCATCTTTTTCTTACGAGACAAGAGTCTTTACTAAAACTCATGTTATGGACACGCTGTAAATTATACAATATTAACCACCAATAACTATAGCAGTTAGATATGCACATATTCTCTAATACAAAAATAAAGTAGCAGTGCCACATGTCCAGAGTTTAATGGGAATATAGTTCTCATAATTCATAAGCCCACATTAAAGAAGAAAGATGGTTAATTCTTTACACTCTCATGAAGCCATAAAATAGGATCCAGATATAGCTTATCAAATAAAATGACAGTGGCTTATATATCCTTTCACAGAAACAAAGATAGATTAAGTGCACACTGTATACTTACTGCTATAAAAATGTAAAACTTAAAATCTCTTACCTATTCAGCTTGACTCATCCTTTGTTCTGGTAAACTCCTTAGGTTAATAAAAATAACTTCGTAAAACTGACGTTCTCCAAGTATGCTAGCACATATTTCATTTGTAAATATGGTCCACATGTAGGTATTTCATTACAAGCTAAATACTCTTTGGAGCCTAACTGTACTGAGAGGTTGTTTGCATGTGAACTGCTATAAACTTACATGAACCTCACGTTATAAAAAAAAAAAAAAAAAAAAAAAAAGAACTTCTATTTTAAATTCTGTAATGAAAAGTCCTGTGAAGTTATGTGCCTTCCAAAAGTGCATTCCATCCATTTCTAACTCCTGAGGGCCCTCTAGTGCACAGCAGGCAGAGGTACTGAAGAAATTCCTGCTTTCCACAGTTTTCCCTTTTTAAAAAGAGGCCTTCTGAATTTTACATCATTTGAGAATTGCATGTTCTTGTGAGGAGAAATGAAAAACAGACAGTGGCTTTATTGTTAAATATTGTTAACATGCTATTAAACAGGAGCATGTTTTCTATTTGTGCTTTCCAAAATGAGGCACAGCAGTCACCATGCAGATGGAAAAGTCAAGGCAGTAAGATGTTAACAGCTTGTGAAAAGTTAAGCAGTGAGACAATGGCGCAGCTATGACTTCTGACTCCTTGCCTAGTCCAAGTACAAAATAATAAAATCTCTGTTTACTGTAATTTAAACTAAAAGAGACATTCCCTGCTCCATTATTAATACTCTAAGGGGAACAGATTGTTTAAGAAAATGGTTTCTGTTTCAGATGGGTCTAATTTGGATTTATAAGTTTGTGAGTGGATTTTTTTCACTGACCTCACCTTCTTTGCTTTTTGGCTAAATATGTGCTACCAAGTTAAGACCAAGATATTTTGCCATTACTAGAAAAAAAAGTCTTCATATTATGCTTTTTCCAAGTCTGAGTTATTAGAGGAATGAAGATCATAAGAAATCTCTCTGACACTTAAGCTCTTTTCTCAATTTTTAGTTCAAATTCAACTGGAGGGATGTGTCCCCCACACCCCTCACCCCCTTCACCCCCCCCCACAAAAAAAATAAAATAAAATAAAATAAAAAAGAGAGAGATTAATTTTAAAAGCTCTAGACAAGTGTATCAATAATCTCAATATAGAAATGGCTACTGTTGCTTAATATCTTTCACACTTTAAAGAAGTTCCCCAATGTGGACATCGTTAGATCAGCCTTAGATGCTTGAGGGTCCTGCTGAAAGATGGATGGTCATTAGCTAGAGGTTAGCTAGCTTTGCAGCCCCTTTGACCAACCATGACCATAAATCACTTCCAATGAGAATAGCCTCCTATATTCCATTTAATATTAGTGCAAATATCAGCAAATTTGGCAGATAAAATCAGAGCATGGAGCATATTTACACATACACACACAATCTTTTGAAATGCTTAAGACAGGTTCTCCCCTTTAAACATAAACAATGTAAAATAAACAGATCACTTAATTACACCTTTTGGATTTTATTTCCATTTACTGGTGATTTTGAAAGCAGGCAATTCAGCATGACGCTTATAACCACTGCACATCTTTCAATTAACACAAAATGTTTTTTTTTGTGTTTTTTTTTTTTGTTTGTTTGTTTGTTTGTTTGTTTTTAACTTGCATTGCTAATGCCACAGAGTTGCTTGAGTTGGTAATGTAACACACTGCAACAGCTAATTTTGAATGTCCAGTTCTTGCATGTAGACTGTACCGTGACCTGTCCGTGGCAATCAAGCAGCTCAGAAATACAGTCAATTCCAGTTACTAACAGCTTTCCTTAGGTATGGCATTTCCTTTAACTTTTGTAACCTATACAATCTTCCTACAGCAATTCTATAAAGGTTATCTAGAGGAAAGTATAAAAGGATTTTGAGTGTTTTTTGTTTGTTTGTTTGTTTTCATTCCTGATTCCCTTTGTAGCCTAGAAATTGAAATGCAGTGTACCCACCAATGTACTGTCTTGACTGCTAAAGGTATTTTTAGGCTTTGAGTGATTATAGCAATATTATTTCCTTTATCTTTTCATGTTCAGGAAAGAGAAGTCTTTTTCTAATGTCTTCCTGTTAAATTCTTTGGAATGCCTTGTTGCAGGAATTCAACTAAATAGGATTTCATATCCTGTTAATTTAATAGATATTTGCCTCTAAAGTTCTGGGTCTTTAAAAGATAACATATTAAGACATTATTTTTTTTCAGCTCTCGTGTACAGTTCCAGTGCCCTACTAGATTTCACAAAATAATCAAGACTGGAATTGTTATGGACTTGTTTGGAAAACAAATTTTTTGTTGTGTTTCAGGATCAACAAGGAAGTGTTTGCTGTTCAGGTTGGTAGTATTCTTTTTTCTTGATTTGTTACTAACCCAAAGCTGCAGCAGGGCACTAAAAGGGTGGATGGTGGACCTAGCCAATGGCCACAAGTCACAAGCTCCCACATCCTGACTGGTGTTGGCAAACCACAAACAGCACCATCCACTTTTTTTAACGCTCAGCTCCATTTTCAAAACGAGAAGACAAGGGTAACCCATTTTTTACAGAGATAACAAAAATTTACTAATTCACCTTGAAGTTCTCTAAACCTCCTGTTCACATGGTTTTACACATAAGTAATGTGCATCCCATACGCAATATCCTATAGCCTTTCACCTTTCTCATCCTTCCTAATTCTAGCAGTAAAACCTCTTCCTTCTTATCAGATGTATTATTCATACTCTTTTTATATGACATCTTTCCTAGATTTTTCTGTCTTACTTCTTTAATCTACACTAAATACAGCCTTTCACAGCAGTGAATACCATACCTGGAAAAAAAAAATAAAATAAAATAAGCACAAACTAACGAGGAAAACATTTGCAACAACAAAGCAAAGCAATATTAATATTAACACAAAAAGCTTCTAAGTAGCTAGTGTGTTTCCCTCCAAAAGGCCAGATTACATCTTTATTTTTTTCATTTTATCCTTCCTTCATTTTAAGTGATGTGGATTTTAAATATGATTAATTTTTTAGCTTTCTAAGATGTCTCAGTTTGGTTCCTTCCACTGTAGTTATGACTGCAAAAGTTGCTGTGAATAGAGAAATAACAAAAGAGTTGGCAAAGACTAAAATATTCCCTATGCTGCTTTGTAGAGCATTTTGCAATGAAAGACAATCTATAAGCGGACACTTTCTATATTCAGAGAAGGCTCTGAAATTTGCCATTTTCGACTTCAGTAAATACTTTGCATTCATGGACTTCCTTCCCCAAACAGTGTTCATCTCCGATAATCTCTGACTTCAATGAAGCCAACCAGTACAAATCAACGAACTGGAGTCTCTGCATAGTTAGTATTAGTTTAATTCGTACCATCAGTGCTCTTTCAACTATTATGTTGATGAGAAAATATTCCAAAACCAGAATGCTTTGAAGAAATAGCACGGAATAGAAACAGCGAGGAACAGGTGACATCAGTTCAAACCGGTCACAGACAGTAATTAGAACTGATTACTGATTATTCTTTTGAGATCTGTTCTTCCAAATGAAACCAGCGGTGGGATTTCTGGTAAATATATTTTGTTCAACACCACAATGTTTTGAGGTCAAAACTCAACACTCTTTCTCCTTGAGCACTTGAAAGTGTGTATGCAGTTCCAGGCCACTGGACGTGCACTTGCTTTTTACATGCAGGCAATTAATGGTTATAAAGATTAACATTTTTTCTTAACATTTTCTTTTTTCCTAATAAAATGATGTAATATGTTGCCTTTAGAATAAAAAGCATTTCTTTTTTTCTGGGCTACGTTTGCGACTTAGTATGTGATGGCGATCCTCTTGGATGCACCACAGCTAAACTGCATTAGAGACGTGCTGCTGTTCATCTCTCCATGTCACACAGACAAGCATTTTATGCTAAAATGGCTGCTACATTGTGCAGTTCTGGCTTTGCAGAGCCTATAGGAATGAGAATTTACACTGCTGAGGAAAAAAAAAAAAAAAATTGTACATCATTATTATGGATAATGCAGATTTGATTTTCAAAATAGAGGGCACTGCTTTAGAAGACTCGTGCTGTGTTTTTAAGGAGGTCGATCTGAGCTGGCATCTGGGAACTGCAGTCCAGCAGGACGGAGAGAAATGTTTGCTTCATGACTAAACATGCTGACTAATAGTCTGCGCTTTAATTGGTCTGGGTCAAATCCTTACAGGGAAATGGGCAAAAGCCTCTTCTTGACCTTGGTGCAGAAGATTTATCGCATGGGTTTGATTTTTGAACAACCTGGGGGCTTCCAGGAGGACATGGAGGTGATTTCTGTACTTAGGAACAAACGCACTCCGCGTGCTGCCTGCCCAACCTGGCTGCCCACAATTAGCCGGCAGCCAGCCGCCCATCCCTTCAAAGCCAAAGCCCGGCTTTTAGGGATTTCAGGCCAGCCCGAGGGCAGCGCCTTTCCTTTCCCCTGGCCGGCCGGGGGAGCTCCCCTCGAAGCGCTGAGGCCGCCGGCGCCACGGCGGCTGCTGGCGGCCGGCCGGGGGAGCGCCCCATGGGGCGGGCTGGGGCGGGCCGAGGCGAGGGGCGGTGGCCGTGGAGGGCTGGGCGGCAGCGGCCCGTGAGGTATCATGGAGGGCTGGGGGCTGAGGGGGCGGGCATAGCCGGCACCGGGAGCTCGGGGGGGAGCCTCGAGTCCCGGCTGCGGGCAGCGGGCCGCCCCGGCCCCGGCTCCCAGAGAGAGGGGAGGGCGGGCATGGCCGGGCAGGCTGCGGAAGTGAGGCGGGGAAATGGCGGCGGGGGAAGGCGCCCCGCTGGCAGGGGGTTTGGAGGTTGTTCCGCCGAGCTGCCCAGCGCCTGGCCAGAGGGAGGGCCGGGGGGCTGCCCGCAGGGTGCGCTCCTCTTGGGGCATGCTGTGTAAACAAGGGAATCCAAAGCTGGGTGGGTAGCACGCTGAGCTGCCCCTCTTTCCATGGTATTTCCATGCTTAGTGAAAATATTGCCTGAGGAACGTTTTTTAAAGCATTCATCTCCAGGAAAAGGAGAAATACAGCAGCTAGTCGGTGGGCTCAGTGTCACCAGAGGACATCACTGCGCCACCACGGAGCTGTCCGGAGTCACCTAAAATGCGGATGAAAATACCCAGCCTTAATGGCAAATAGAGTATATTGCAAATAGGCAATATGACATTCAGCCTCTAAAAATACTAGCTGAATGAGCAATTTCAGATCTTGACAGCAGTGTGGATCTGCCTTGAGATGAAAGCTCTCAAGGGCAGGTTTCTTGGTTTCATAGCTGTCCATAAAGACGGCAGCAGCATGTTGCTGTTGTGTTAAGTGAACGCAATTACACCATAATTTGTCGTCTCTCTTTGTAACAGAACATGGTGGAGCTTTTTTGAGGAAACAGTGAAAATGCAGAACAAACATCTAGTGAGATAAACCTTTGAAGTTAGTGGGATAAAGCCAATGTATACCAGCAATATTTTATTAACTGTGCAGCTCAGAAACCCTGAAATGCCAGGAAGGGATACTTACTGAAGAACCCCCATCAGTAACCACGATTCCACTTGTCTCTGCTTGAAGTTTCAGGTACTTCTGAAGTCTGGCAACTTCAGTAAGTGCCTCTGGTTTGGCATTTGTTAGCTGTAAGCCATTGGTGGCACATATGCTGTTAGTTCATCTGGCAACTCTACAGTGAAAACAAAAGGCGGCTTTTAGTGAACCCTCTGAAAATCCCAGAACAAGACAGAGTTAGTGCCCAAGTATGTGAAAAAAGCGTAGTTGATTTAATGCTGTGTACCAGTTCATTATTTGCATTGGATCATATAACCGTAGAATAATTTTAGTTTGGAAGGGACCTCTGGAAGTCATCTAGTTCAACTCCCCGCTTAAAGCAGTGCTATCAGTGAAGTGCATCAGGTTGTTCCAGGCCTCGTCCAGCTGAGCTTTCTCTTGAAGTCATTCAAATTGAGTTGAAAGTTGGCCCTGGTATTTAGCCAAATTTGGAGACCAAGTGCCCAAAACCTTGGAGAGTTGCAGAGTTTTCATCAGCCTGAAAAAGCATACAGTCCCTCAGTTAACTGAAAATTGAGTTTCTTTTCCATTTTTGGTGTCATAATTCTAGTTTTCCGACTGTGCTAATCTTAAATGTGCACAATATGGAGATTTTAGAGATAAAAAACACACAGAAAGTTCTTTTGCCCTTCAGCATACAGATTTTCTTAGTAGATAGAAAACTGAAATATTTTTAAAGTAAAGTTTATCTGTGCATTAATAAAAACAGGCTGATAAACCACTTTAAATTTGAAAGGATATAAATATTTTATCTGCATAAAAACTCACTTAAGAGCTTAAGAAGCAAGACAGGTATTCAAAGAGCTGTAGTGTAATCTGTTTTATTACTGTCTTTGACAGTGTGTGAGGGTTTTTCTTGTGCAAAGCCACCTTGTGGCTTACTTGGACAAGTACCTTACTTGTCCACAAAAATAATTTGATGTATTCACTCAGTGAATCAAGTTTGAAGGAATGCAGATAGCTAATGTAAGACTTTATGTATCTTCATCACTGTTGGGTATTACAGTATTTCTCAGCCTGTAAAGTTCATCTTTGAAGAAATCCCAACATTATTATTTGCACTGCACTGTGTTTGTGGGTCTCAGGCAAAACAGGGCTTTCCAGCTTCTGAGACTGAAAAGTAGGGTCTTTTAATTTGCAGGTTTCTGAATTAGATTGGTATTATTTAATACTCTACATGATTAATTCTGCTCTCTGATTTCAGAATCTGTCAAGATTTGCAGCAAAACAACCCTGCAAAAAATGATCATCGGAAAAGTATACAATAACTTCAACATCAGCAATGGAACAGATCTTGCTATTGGATTTACTTCTTCTGCAGTAGCTGTCCTTCTCTTTGGGACAAACTTTGTGCCTGTTAAAAAATACGACACTGGTGATGGTAAACTTGTTTATATTTTTAAGTATTTGGTTTTTGTTGGTGTTTCTATTTTGGTGGTGTTTGGGGTTTTTGTTTTGTTTTGTTTTGTTTTGCTAGTTGGAATCATATTTTACTAGCACATATAATTGTTTCTATAAATAGGTTTATAATATCATCACAGATTTCATCCATGGAGCATGTTTCAATTTTCTCTGTCCCTGTTAGGGTATAAAGAAATAATGTATTGGTTCTCAATATGACAAATCTACTTTTACTGTATACTTCAACAATAGTGATGATTTCATGAGCATTTCACAATAGAAAGCAAAATGTCCTTTCTTTTACCATCATAGGGATTCTCTAACACATCCACTGTTATTTATACATATAAAAAAAGTAAAAGTTGTTGGACTTTGGAGATTACTGCTCTTCAAACATGGACCTAGGATAATATGAAAACAATCAAAAATGGAAATGTTGATATTTTTATCTAGTTAACCCAGTAAGAGGAAACATCACATCTGTTTCCTACTTAGAATTTTATCACTTCATCATTCTAGATTCATGTTGTATTTGCATGTCTATTTGAAGCATAGTCAATTACCAGATCCCTAGAGGAATAAATCTGCCATTATGTTATCATAATAGTATCTGCATTACAGACTGCAGAGCCTCTCTCTCTTCTTTGTGCCAAATACAGTCCTAACAAGACACATCTGCTTTAAAGAGAAAGTGTGAGGTCAGCTGGCATAAAGTTCAATGATTTGCTTGGTTGACCCTTAGAGAATCTATGAAGATAGGAGAGATCTGTCCAAACTTTGTCGTTCTCAAATGGGTTGGTGGAAAAGCCTGAGCTCGGAGCTTTGAAGGAGCTTTGTCTTCTATGCCAGCTGCTACTGGGGTAGTGTGAAAAACTTGCAGTAACTTAATATCCTCTTTGTCAGAATTTTCAGGCATTTGGGAATCAGGGCCTGTGTAAACTTTGCCCAGCAAAGTGTCTTTTGTACAAAAAGTGCATAGCAGGAAACAGGTTGACCAAATTTTAACAGCCAACCCTAAAATACATCCTTTGAATATATTGTAACATGATTCCCTGAAGTTCACAGGTGGCCAAGTTTCACTGTTTTGGTACCATTTAAGCTCAAAGGTACTATATTAAAGAGATAAGAGACTCACATTTGCAACGTTCTACTAATTCTCTGTTGTGTGCATTTGATTTTTTCATAGGCATGTTCTTCCAATGGATTCTCTGTGCTTCCATATGGATAGTTTCTTTGGTGGTCAATTTAATCCAGAATTGCCCTCGTTTTTGGCCCCTGGCTATGGTTGGGGGTTTTGTGTGGGCTACAGGTAAGGATTCTAATTCTTGAAACACAAAGTAATCCTAACTCATTGCAAAAACGGTCATAAAAACTTTTCCATATATAAGGTAGTTATTTGGTTTTTCCAGTCTTGGTATTAAAAAAGCTTTACCCATACAACAAATATTATTGTGAATAATAATGTTCTCTATGCTGGATGGCCCTACTTAATGTATTTTTATTTATAAGCAGCAAATTCACACCAAAATAACTTTTAAAATGGTGTTGAGGAAAAGTCCATATTTAATTTATCTTTAAAAAACTCTATTGCCTACTAACTTGTAGTTGCCTAAATTGTTTTCCATTCTGAACAGTCTCAGAATCTAAAGCTAAAAAGGTAGGACCACAGTCTAGCTTTTGACTGATTTTTTAATTTTATTTTTTTTATTTCAGGCAATGTCACAGTTGTCCCTATTGTTAAAACCATTGGCTTAGCTCTTGGTCTTTTGATATGGGCTTCTTTTAATTTGTTGACAGGCTGGGCAAGTTCAAGGTGAGTATGCTTAAGGCATACATTAGTAATCTTTCCATTTCTTTGCTAATAACAAATATTAACCAATAAAAAGGATTAAACATACATAAAAGGTATTTTTTCCTTCTCATTGGAAAGTACTCAGGTTAATTATTTTATCTTTTTGTGTTTCCTCTGACTCAATAGGAACAAAAATGCCTGGTCATGTTCATTAACATATTTGAGTAAATAAATAATGTATTTATGTATGTCAAGCTAGTACTAGTATTTTTTTCTTCTACAGCATGGGCTGATAAAATAATTTAAATTAACCTTGATTTTTAAATACCCAGATTCAAAAAAATCAATCTCAATTAAATTAAAGACTTTTTTGGTTTTATAATAAATGTAGTTTTTTGTAAGCCAACTGATGCACCAATCCATGATATAAACTAATATGTTGCTAATATAAACTTAAGCAGAAATATTTCTGTGAGTAAAGATTTTAAAGACTGTTTTAATTTAAGTATTTTGTATGCAGTCAATGCAGCTAAGTGTAACTAGTTATGTATTCCAGATTTGGTTGGTTTGGAATTGACCCAGAAGAGGTATCAAGACCAGTCTTAAATTATATTGGAGCCGGGCTTTCATTATTAAGGTAAAAACTTATAATTAATTTATCTAACATAATTTATATGTAATAATCAGAGGAACAATTTAAGCAAAGTGTAAAAGTATTGTAGTTTTTTTTTTTTGCAAATTGATTTACCCCAAAATTCATGAGTTGTCTATACCTAGCTTGTCAGTGCTACATTTCAGAATGGAAACATGCACATTTTCCAGTACAGTAGAGAAATGGTTATTCATAAACGCAGAAGTCTGTTTTTATGCCGGTAGGCACGTTCAAGGCAAAGCTGTGATGCACTAATCCTCTCCCTAGCCAGATTGTTCAACTGGTTCACTTCAACCAAAGTTTGAGAGGGTGCTGAAACAAACTAGAAAAACCTTGGTGAGAAAACGTCTGTGAGATTTCTGTTCTGACTTAACTCGGTTGTCAGTACAAATCCTTCCTCTTAGCAGAATATCCCCCAGATCCTTTAGGGTTCATAAAAAGCCAGAAACTATGCCTTATTTCTTGTCACCCTGTCTACCTGACCACCATCACCAATTCACAAGTAGTAACCTCATGATCTTCAGAAAGACTTCTACTTTTGTGAGAGGTACTCACAAAACAGTGGGAGTGCTGTTATTCCTGCCTGATGAATTTATGTAGCCCACCAGTTGCTTCCTGCCTATTTCTGAGATACCACAAAAAGCGATCAACAAGGAAAACGATCCTGACAAAACATGTTTTCCTGGCAAGCTGCACATGCTGCTCGGTAGAGCTCAGAAGCATGTTTTTTTTTATTTTAGCCTCCTATGCGGCACCTGTACATATTTGCCTAGTCCCTCCAGAGGAAGCTGGCACCTTTTTGTATCTACCCTTATTCCTTTAGCAGGAGTTGAATCACTCTTCAGATGGAGGCATTTTGCTTATGGCTATAGAAAAAATTAATAAATCATTAAAATACCTTGCTTAAAAATAAAAAACTGAATCTGTCAGTTCTGATTACACATACTTACCTGATTTCCAGGAGCAGGGTGGAAAAGCTTTCTTCATTTTATTAACTCAGTGCACTGGAGCAATCAATACCCCTTCTCCTACAAATGCATGAGGCCCTGTGGGAGCAGTGTTATCCCACTTGGATACAACAGAAAACTCAAGACTATCAGTTTTCCTTGAGCACAAATCCAATTCTGTGCAGCTTTAAGTTGTTCCATATAGAATTTTCATGCAGATGTTCAGCTAATGTGGTTCAGTACAAAGGACACTGTTAACTAACACAGCTGTTGTTAGCACGTGGCTGGAACAACACACCATAAATAAAGAAGCATTTCAATCCTATTATATAGAAGAGAGAATTATAAAGTGATAACAGGACTAATCTATTTGTTTACTTTTGCTGAAGTCAATTGTTAAGACTGTTCAGAACAACTGCATTGTAAAAATATATTGAAGTAAATCTCTGGACGCTAAATGTTATGTCCTCGTGAGCTGACTTATGGTATTCATTGACGTATTCTTTTCTTCTGAGTGCTGTCATATTTCTTTTTATAAAAACTGAAGTCCAGAGTTCTTCAGCTTCATTAGAAAGAACACCATTACTGAGAGAAACGGTAAGTACTCTGCAGTTGCTGTTCTGCAGCTGTGAGAATACATATATATGTTAAAACAAACAAAAATTGCTTAATGTTAATGTTTTCATAGGATATATGGTAAACTACATAAATATGCATTGATTGTATTTAATTTGTGGATCTTGTGTATTTAATTAAATGTGAACAACAGAAAAGGCCTTCTTCGTTTATTGTCAGCCTTGTATATGGCTCGTAAGCCCTTATGGCAGAGGCTGTATTAAAGACAATGTGCATTTTTCCTTTCTGAAAAGAAGTAGTAGTTTTAGAAGAATTTATTAGAATAGGTTTTAGCTATTAGTAGGAGAATGCTTAGAGGAAATGCAACAGAGTGTACAAGTCTTATCCACCAGATTTTTGCCTTGTTACAGAGCCAAAAGACTGTCAGGAGTCCCTGGTTCTCAGCATTGACAGTGGCACTGGTGGGAGGCCAAAGACAGGTGCCAGACTGGGCTCCCAAAGAAGTGACAGCCAAAATTTGCAACAATAACTGGAGAACAGCAGGCTCCCAATACAATTCCCTGTTCCTACCCTTACTCTGGTAGGTCAGTGATGCATCAAAACTCAATTGCTACCTAAACAGAGCTCCTGAGAGTTTTCTAGCTGTGCTTGGTGATCGTGATCTCTAGAGGTCCCGATCTACCAGAGCACATATCAGAAGATAATCTGCAGGACTAGAAGAAAGGAATGTTGTAGTCTCTTTACACTGCAGACAAGGGTATTATTTTCTCAGTTGGCAAATAGTCCTAGTATTCTGACAGTAACACCAGAGCTATCAACAAAAGGCAAAACTGTATCATAAATAAAACCAATACATTAAATCATTCATCATATTTAAGGAAGGGCAAGTTTTGAAAGGCAGACCTGCATGTAGATTAAAAAAAAAAAAAAAGCTAATGAGTGCTGTATTAAATATTAAACCCCAAATACACAGCCAAACACTTAGAAACTTTGAGGTAGATAGATCCAATTATTACTGCTTGTTTTATTTCCAAAATTATTTTTCCTTTTTATTCAGAGCATCCCTGTCAAATCTTGTTTCTCCTTCCCTTACAGTTTTCTTAGAGCAAAACTGCTGTATTAAGACATTTGAGATGTTTTTTATTAAAAAAAAAAAAAAAAAGAAAAAAGATTGAGTGAAAACTCTTATTTTTCTGCAGTCTGTTAATGCTTCTGAAGAGATCTCTGATGAGTCATGGGTGAGCAGACTTTCTCCAGCAAAAAAAAGACTCATGTAAGTCATTCGCAGTTCTTCTACTGATGCAGGTCAAGTAGCCAGAGAAAGTAATATAACAGAGTAAGAACAGAATTTGTCTTCTAGTTTTCCTAGCATAGACATGTGCTAATAAATAAGTTTTTAAAATATTAGCGTACTGTGCGTATTTCTGCATATCTGACTAGCTGCTTAACTAGTTGGATAATTTTCTTCTCACTGTTCACTGTGCACCAACACATTTGCAAAGTAAAGAGCAATAGGAATTAAGTACGGAGCTGTTTTGTAGCACCCCACCATAGAAAGAGGCCATGCTTCCAGGTGTGGCTTCCACATGAGTACACGTGGAAAAGGCATTGCAGCATGGTTAGGAGACAGGAGAAGTGGTCCAGGGTGGAAGCAGCAGCTAGCAAGGAGGCGGTTTGGGGACTGGAGGCAGCAAGGACATAATCATCTGGAGGTGGAGAATGGGAGCAAGAAGGAAAATAATGATCCTGGAAATCAGTAAAGAAAGTACGGACTGAAACAATGGAGCTGAGAGTGTGAGTGTTTTAACTTTATTTTTGTTAGTTTTCTCCCAGCTTCTCTTTTAGGCAGTATTGGTTAGTTGATGTCTCTTGTCATGACTGTAGATTGCAGGTTATTGGGGCAGGAGTTGGCTGTCGTACTTGGACACAAAGTGCAGGAAAACTGAATTACTGTTTTGAAAATTTTCTACACTAAAAATAGAGCTAAAATACATCATTTTTATAACACTGCTACCAATTTTTGTAAGATTTTCAGGTTTTAACTGCAATACTGTATGTCTTGTGTAGTGTCTACTTCCCTAATTTACAGTAGGCTTTTCTCTTTTTTTGTTCTTTTCAAAGAGGATGTAGCCTAGCTGTAGTGGCTGGAGTACTGTATGGTTCCAGTTTTGTACCAGTACTTTACATCAAGGACCATGGAAGAAGAAATGAAACTATATACGCAGGAGCAAGTCAATTTGGTAAAGGCTAATTACTTTATTTCATTAATATGTTGTGGTTTTCTGCTTTCATAAAGGCACGGAGTGAAATTATTCATACTGCTGGAAATACAGTGGCAACTTACTAGTTCAGTACTATGTTACATGTTACTGAGTTGTTGTTATAATACTAGCTCTCCCTTTTTCCAAAAGGTGAATTAAACCATTAAAACAATAGCAGTAAACAGCCAAAAAGATGCCATATTTATCTTACTTACTTAACACCTTCTGGAACGTAGCTAACTCTCAAAATACCAAGTTCATATGTCAGGAATATGAGGGGCAAAAGCTTATTGATTGCTAAATTAGTAAAGGAAAAGTAGAAGGTTGAACATAATTGATGAGCAGAAGAGATATACAAAATTTTAAGTAATCATGTTAGTTTTGTAATTGAAGCCTTTTAATGTAGTTGTAATAGCTATTTTCAAAACATTTGTCAAGAAACATTTTCCTTAAGATTTAGGATATAATGTATCAAGTAATACCAGTGGCAGCTTAAGGCCCAGGTTCCACTGAGACAGCACAGTGCTGCCATTAACCAATGCTTATTGTAATGGATACATTTTCTCTTGGATATAGCAATTTACACACTTCCAAGCAAGACAAAACAGCTGTTATCATTACTGTATCTGTCTTTCCTGATGAGGAATTACAGGTCCGAGGAGACAGAGATCACCTTGCTACATGGTTCTCCTCTATCATGTTGAAGATGCTCTATTTAGTGCTTATCAAATCTGTAAGGGATTTGTAATTCTTAATAAGTATATTGGTCAAAATTGTGATGCATTCTTCAAGATAAGGAAAGGACAAAACTGCTATGTTTATCTTGCTTTGTATGTGCAGTTGTCTTGCCTTTGAAAGTACAGCATAACGAAAAGAAGCAAGGCTTTACAGTGAATGTAAATGTAGATGGTTACGAGAGGATGTAATTATGTAATACCCCTCCCCGCAGTTTTGTAGCCTCACACAAGTATTTTCTTATGCTTTTAATAAATGAATTCAGTAGCCTGACTAATAGAATTACAAAAATAACAACTCATAGAAATGCATAAAAGCTTCTGATAAATGCTAGGGTCAATGTAGCATTTAATTCATATTTAATATGATATGTATGATTGACAGAATCCATCCAGAGCCAGACTGTTAGCTGGGCTCATAGCCACAATTGAATTGAAATTGTGGCATCTTACCTGTTTTTGTTTTTGTGAATGCTGTCACTGAAATAAATTTAACTAAAATTATGAACTGATGTTTTAGACTAATACAGTTTTGCAATTTCTCCTTCAGATTTAGATTATGTTTTTGCACACTTCAGTGGAATATTTCTTACAAGTACCATCTACTTTTTGATCTACTGTGCTGTCAGGAAAAATAAGCCTATAGTTTATCCCCAAGCCATACTGCCAGGTATGTTTGTTAAATTAGGAATTCATTTTGGTTACTTCTTCTTATTCTTTTACAGTGATTAGTTCAAGCTATATAATGGAACTGTAGTTAGCCTCTGAAGTCTCGTCATTTCAATTTTTGTCTGTTCAGAAAGATCAGTCCTACTATGTTAATTAAGATCAGGAAGCAATGATATATTTTTGTTCTAATCTGAAATGTGACATTGCAAACAATGCATTTGCAAAAACTCACTCTGTCAGAAAGTAGAGTATGTTGCCCAGGAAATTGCAATCTTTAATTATAATTTCCTACTTCAGTTGGAGTAGCTGATTTTATCCCTAGAGACTTGGTTTAGATTCTCAGAGCCAGCTTGTTAAAGTTATTAAATAATAAACTACTCAATTTCTGTATTATGCTATTAATACAAATATTTCACAGATTGCTGTCTATACTTTGCTGTACGTGTTTTTGATTTGGATTTATTTTTCTAGGGTTTGTTTCTGGTGTGCTTTGGGCAATAGCCAATTGCTGCTGGTTCATTGCCAATAACTATCTCAGTGCTGTGGTCAGCTTTCCAATAATAACCGCAGTAAGTATATAAAAAAATAAAATCTATGACTAGAAATGCAGATTTCCCTCCCCCCCTCCCTAGTAGTTAAAATTAAGTTGAAATTTTGACGTGTCCAGATAAATTTTTTTCCAAATGTATACATTACGTGTTCTTTTACTTGTCTGCACTAGCATTTGTTTTTTGGGCAGAACTTAAGATAATGTGACAAGCACCGTCTTGGCCAATGTCAAGCATAAAAAATAGGAGCTGAAGGTGTCGGTCTTCAGGTTATATAAAAACCAGTACTCTTTAGCCAGAACTATTGTCAATATTAAATATTGAACTGAGGTGATAAAAAGAAGAAAAGTTACTTGCTTTCATCCCAGCAAGTATCTGTAGTTCTGGACTTTTTCATTTGTGATTTTTATATTTTATCAGTCATTTTGCTTAATTAAGTTAGATATTTTTTATTGTCACACTTTTCAAATACACCAAACATTCTGTATGGCTGAAAATAATTTTCTTACAAAAACACAAGGAAAATAGGTTGGCCAATTTTGCCTGTGTTATTCCTGCTTATAATACTGTACCTTTAAAACACTGTTAATGTTCAGAAGCTGCATGAATTCCATCACTATATAAAAATAAATTTTGCCTTTATTCTCTTGCCAGTCTGCTAGATGGTGCTGCAAAGCTAGATAACTTCTGGCAAATTAGAGTTCATGAGTATCAAAAATAAAGTTCTGCTGAACAGCTGTATTTTGGAAGCAAACTAATGAAACAACATTAATAGGGATTAAGCTTTGCCTCAAGATGGAGTGAATCAGAATAAACTCTGCAGTATGCAATGAAAAAAAAATACTTGGGATCATTCTAATTAGGAACAGAAGGATTAATAGAAAGCAGCTTTAGTAACTTTGTTTATCAGTATACCTAAAGGGAAAGGATGTAAAATAACTAAATGAAAAATTGTAAGGACAGCACTGATGAGAAACTGCTTATCTGTGCTGCAGTTTTGGAACTGTTGCTTTATTTCACCCTAGAGAGAACTTCAAACAACATCCCTTTAACAATTTGCTTCATTTAAAAAATGCATTCCCCTAGCAATGTAGGTTATCTAGAAAGCGAAGTAACACCTTAGTTATTATTTAAATAATATTTAGCAATTTAGGCAATGGCATGCACAAACACATTCAATGTAATATTCTGTTTCCTGCTGGCCTAAATTTATGTCCCATCGGGTGTACTGAAGATGGTGGGAGTAAGATCACTGTCCAGACATCTGTCAAGTGTTTCTGAGAGCAGCTGTAATGGGAAGCATTCACAGAGTTTTTGCTTCATATTCAGATAATATTTTCTCATCGGTCATGAGAATTCAGATCATTGCTCCCACAGGAAAAAAAAATGTATTACTGGGAGTGCCTGGAAATTATCACTGTGAACCTCTTGTTTTCTATTAGCTAGGAAATCTGTAAGACACCATCACAGAGAAACAGCAGTTTTCCTGGCCTGTCTTATCTGTCTGGCTTTGTGTTTTGTCCAGATGGCTGAAATACAGGAAATACATTCATGTTCCAGTTTCTTGATACCATACTGAGCAATAAAATCAAACTTTTCAAAAGTGGTTAGTCGTGGTAATAGAGGAAACATTAGCAATATCCTTGGTGGCTGCCAAGAAACCTGAATAGACCTCTGAAACAGGGTAACAAATGAAAGTCTGTAGAGTTTGAACTAAGGTGAGGCATATTATTTAAAGCCTACTAAAAGAACGTATAACAGCCAGTGCAGACTCCACAGCTTAATTTAGGAAGAAATTATGCCCTCTCATAAAAAAATAAATTAAAAAAATCTTGTTAGCCCTTCTTGAAGTATTTATTGTGTCTTACTTTGTAGAGACTTCAGTATGTTTATGCTTTTGCCATGAGTACTGTACAGAATGGAGAGGCCTAAATTTGCTATCCAAATGAAATACAACCGCCCTAAAAACAATAATAGGAAGGTGGCACACTTCACATTTGTAATGTACAAGTGAATCTTATTCTTTAGGGTCCTGGCCTTGTTGCTGCAGCATGGGGAGTCCTCGTATTTAAAGAAATCAAGGTAATCTTACTAGGTCTCTTACCTAGTCTCTCTTCTCCTTGTCTCTAGTTCTTAGAACAGCATGATTTGGTATATAGCTGTATCCGTTAGATTTCCTTACAAATACTACATTATGAAGCTGAAAATCATGTCATGCAATGCCGCGTTTTCCAAGGTAAACTTTGAACAATTTTTACAGGAATGCCGATTTGAATTCCATGACTATTAGCAGCAGTGGGAGTAAATGAAGACTGCAGCAGGGTCAGGATGCCAAGCATAGCCTGAAAACAGTATTTATTTGAGCTAGCTTTCAGTGAGGGCAGGGGAATGAGCAGTTGTCGCAGTAATCACGTAGACCAGTAGTTAAGGAATTTAGGGTCAGATTCTCCAGAGGACCAAAAAATCAGGCTGAGGACAGTTGAGCCTGCTGATTACAGTACAATGTAGAGATTGTTAAACTGATACAGCAGCAATAACACAGAACGGGGTAATTTACTAGATGTTAACATGGCTGAAATTATTTTTCAAGCGGAATTTGAAGCATAGGAGCGTAGGTCTCAGGTTCCTGTAACTAGTCTGGCCAAGATCCATTCATATCTAATTTGCTATTACAGATTATATCTGATATTTCTGGTGACTGTAAAATGCGTTAGGCATGCTTGGAGCAGGAACTAGAAGTCCCCTCTCCCTCACTGCAGACAAATGTTGCACCACACTAGAAGACTGTCATGTTCATTATCCAAATCTTTATGATTCACTAAGTCTTTCAACTTTTTCATACATTTTAGAATAGTCTCAGCATAGATGCTTACTATTTAAATATCATCTGAAAACAGACAGAAGTCCCTTAAAAAGACTAAAAAAGATTTGATGAATTAATTTTATGAATGTTTCACTAAGTGCATGGCATCATAGATTGCTTGTATTGAATTGCTTTGAACAAAAAATCTTTCAAATGTTGTATGAAATAAAACCCTATAAAATACATTGTATGAAGTAAAACGCTAACATTTCATATAACAGGTGCATTCATTTTTGTCATAAATTAAATGAAACTTTACTTTTTTTTGTGAAGTGTTACCTATTATGACATAATATTTTTCTTTTTCTCTCCACTTGACTGTCCAGGGACTGAAAAACTACATGTTACTCTCAGTAGCATTTTGCATCATTTTGGCCGGATCACTCTCCACAGCTTTTTCTAAAGTTTGAAAAGATCTTCTTACCAGCAGATGGTGCTACTGTCTAGGACATTGACGGTGTATCACAATAGGTTATTTCCAAAATATATGTCCAACATTTACCCTAACTTTCTTTGGGCAGGTAAAAATCATTCCCACATAGCATGAAAGAAAATCTGGAAATGTTTGTTTCTGCATGTTTTGGAAGAGCAATGATATCAAAGATGTTCTTTTAAATAAAGCTCAATGATTTTATATTTACTGATTTTTCTGGTTTAGGTATGAAGCTCACATCACTGTAAGTTCCAGTTCCTTTCTATGATGATGGGTTAAAGGGATATTGATTTTTAGTCTGTTAGTACTCTATAGCTAATTCATTTTATTCCAAAATTCTGTCTTGCTGACTTGATTATAACATGTCTTGAAATATAAAAACATAGGTACATAGGCACATAAAAACACAGGTACATGAATCTTCTGGACAAACAGATGATCACCTCTGAGAATATACCATATAACCTGCCAAACATACTTCCTTTTTTGAAAACACTGTAAAGATAATGGAAGTAAAATCCTTTTCTAATTCAGCAACTGACTTCTTGCCATATGCTGACAGACTACAGTCTAGGACTCACCAATGTGAAAAACATGTTATGCAGTTCTTTCTTAGCATCCAAATTGTCCTGACTTGGTTTACCCAGAAGTGCCACAACTGAACTATTTAAGATGTATAGTTAAATTACATGCTTTCTTCACAATTCATAGGGAAAAAAAAATTGTTAGTTTGCAAACAGATATGAAATTGTTTCAGGTCATCTCCATACTTGGTGCCTTTTTGAGAAACAAAAAGTAAGGGTACACCTAATAATTCCTTTAACAATTTTTTGAAGATAAAAAATATGAAAGTGAATACACATCGAAGAACATTCCAAAGGGACGGTCTCTTTTAGATTTGCAAAGAAGCACAGAATTGGTAGTATGAATAGCAGTATTGGATTCCATGGTAATCTTTCAGTCATATTATTGCAAACTGCTGTCCTGCTCACATTAATGAATTATATTCCAGTTAAAATCATTCACTAGCTATATCTGTCTTGGGAGACATTTACCTCACTGCTCAGACATTACCACAATTTATTATATAGTATACATACCTGCTTTTACCTCATTCATTTAACAAAGCAGACTTTAAACAGGTTTTCAACCTGATACAACCATCCATTCTAACACTCTACACTCTAATATTCAGGACTAGATCTGTACTGAGCTACTATTTTAAAGGCTGTGATGAGAGTAATAAGGTATCACCTCACAAAGTCACCAACGGAATACGTATTTGAAGAAGTATTGCACAAATTTAAAGTAAATTGATCTTGAGCTAAGGGCCAAGCAGCAGGAATTCAATCCATCTGTAGGTGAAAGCAAGCATTAAATTTCCGTTTGATTCTGTAATTACACGGGGATCTTACATATACGTTAGACATTCAGAAAATGTGCGCTCTTCGGAGAGACAAACACATCCATACACAGGCCCCTGTTTTCAAAAGAAAGACAACTTGGCCAAGTTTGTGATGGTAGCACTACTTTATACCCAACCTTCACACAGGTTGTTTTGTGGATCACATTCCTTCTGCAGAAAAAAGTATTTAAGGGAGTTAGCACAGATCCTATCATCTCTTTTATGGTATCTGAGCAAAACTGATCTTCTGCTCCTGTATTTTCTGTTTACATATCATTTTTCCACTAACTTAATCGCTGCTTAAGGGAGTTATATGTAGGGAGTCTCACAGAGCACCAACCACTTGACAAGATCCACTGACGTGCCTCATGCATGCAAGTATTTAACTAAAATAGTATAATAAACATTAGCTTTGCAGACCAAAAAGAAAGGGAGGCTTTCCTTTTGAAAGCCTCTATACACTTATATTTTTAGTATTTTTGCTTCCAAAACACTATGTTAAGAATAGATTTACCAGGGGGTGCATAAAGGAGCTACAGATCCTGCTTGAGCCCATTTGCTCTGTACAGATTGATGCGCTCTCCATGTTGTACGACAGAGGATACATTGTGCTGTTCAATGGCACCCTTATTCACATCCTGCCAGCATCCAGCCCTGATGTATAGCGGTACTGTGTGAACAGATGGCTTTCATGATAGTTTTGAAACTAAGAAGGCACCAGTTTGAATTGCAATTTTATTTTTAACCATTCTACAAGTGATGCCTACAATCTAAGACACAACTGTATCTAATGTGGTGCTAATCACAGGTGTGCAAAAGCGCCAATAGGAATAGGTGGACAGTTCTGAATGGTTACCTTAGATAGATCACATGCCTCTAAAGAGCAATCCATACCATAGAGAGGTTTAAAGTCCTACCATCAAGTTAGCAAACGATCTTGCCGTTGATTTTCAGTCCTCATCTTTTTCTTGTGGTAAATACATTAAAATGTGATGAATTGAGCAAACTGCTCCAAAAACTACATCAAGGACACTTGTGCAGCCTGAATTCTGGATTCCTGGGTAACCAGAATACTATGACTCAGAGGACCCTATCAGCTTTCTAGTCATCTATTTTACAAAAATACTTGAAGTACTTCTTAAACATTTCCAACTATAATTGCGTGGTTATTTTAGCCCTTTGCATTTACACTGTGAAATACTCAAATTAAACAAGACTAATTGCACATTCTTTTTGTACAGGATGATATTTATCCCAAGTGGTGTGACTGTCACTTTGCTTATGTGTACACTGTGTAACGCAGGGTAATACAGAGATACCCAAGTTAACTGGAAAGAACAAGATCGTGACAATTACAGCAAAAGCATGGACAACATGGAAGGGAGGAGAAGATGAAGGAAAACTACATCCAGAACATAACATTCTTAAGCTTCCACAATTGGGCAAATCTAAGTAGCTTTACAATATTTTTACCAGTGAATAAATCTCTCTTCTCTGGAAATTTGCACTAGGAACCATTGTTAGAATCAGAATCCTGTTCTAAGAGCATGATGAAAAATGTTGCACTCCAAGTTGGAAATTGGAGAGAAAAACAATCCTGTATACGTAAGAATTGTACTCAAACCGCTGATTACACTTTTTCTTCCCCCTTAACAGATGCTTACATCTTTTACTTTTAACCTGAGAAGCAACAGGTAGTTTCCACGTTTCCCTTGGGGATAGTGTACTCTTCTGTCTTTTGCTTCTGTACAAACAGTTCAAAATTTTAAAGTCATGTTGTCAGACATACACCCAAACAACCTTGCACGGCATTACATGTTCCGCCCCCCCCCCCCCGTCCCCCTCGTCCCCGTCCCCGTCCCTGTCCCCGTCCCGTCCCGTCCCGTCCCGTCCCTCCCCCAAGACAGGTCAAGCCTGTCAGGCAAGACCGGACAAGTAAATAATGTGAACATAGAAAAGTAACTTGTAAATACATTACGTTTTGGCAGTTTTTTGGCGCTTTGTGGGACTTAACTGCGCTTCAGTGAGAAGAACATCTACTGTTGTGAACTAAAATTATGCCTCTGTGCCACAATGTATTTTTTTTGTTTGTTTGTTTTTTTGGGGGAGGGGGTGGGGCAAAATTTCTTGTGGACACCTGCAGGAGTTGCAAGATAATAATAAAATGTAGGTGAAGGAAAAGTTCCTTCTGTGTTGTTGTTGGTTTTGTTTTCTTTTCCATGCAGTCTTAAAATGAAGGTCCCATTTTCGGGCCCTTGGCAGAGTGTAAGCATGCCGGAACACTTCACGCTACGTAGATCATATTTGTCTGAAATGATAATATCATCCTGTGAAATATGTTCATCTGATTCGTGTCAATACGGAACAATGCTAGGGCCTCATCATGAAATGTGACCTTCTGTCTTACATCCTCTTGTATAAATAACCACAAGTCCAAGAGAAACAGAGTGGTTAGTGTATCTAGTTCTTGTATCTTGCAAAAGAATGGTCTAGCAGTTCATGTCGATAGAGGGTTTGAAGGGTAAACCTTGAGACTCGGGTCTGGGAGATAAGAGCATAAGGGGGAGTTTTTTGAGCTAATTGCTGACTACTGCATGAGACACAACTTTCTGACATGTGGCCCAGAGACCACTAAATAAGGAGGGGGGTGGTGGTGTGGGGAAGCTGAGGAACAAAGGACGAAGGACAAAGCCTGGGAGGAAGACTACGAGCCTTCAGTACGAGCGACCCCCAGAGGGACTGCCAGAGACTGATACGTATGCATCCGTGGGATGGTTTGGGTGCCGGGAAACTAATTATAAGAACCCTGCCTTTTCCAAAAGTGGTGATGAATATGTATTAGCCTAGGAGCATAAAAACCAGCCGCCTGATGTAACTGGTGTGCGTCTTGGTGGAGCAGAGACTCCTGGCGCACCCAGCGCTGTTTGCTTACCTCTATTCCTTTAATAAATTGTAAACTTTGATTGTAACCCTATTTGGGATTCAGTCATTTATAACAATACCTATAGTCTGCTGCAGCCTGAAAAGTAGCCTGTGCCTCAGGTGCTGTTTTCTGCCTCTGCTTTTGTTACTACATCCTTGTAAGTCTTCAAAAGGGAAATGAAGTTATCCTATTCAGAAAAAACACCATCCAGAAGAAACTTTGGTTGATTTCAGGGCCTGAATTCTCACTGAAACCAAAGGCGGGTATAGAATCATAGATTATCCCGAGTTGGAATGGTCCCCTAAGGATCATTGAGGCCAACTCCTGGCACCACACAGGTCTAACCAAAAATTCAGACCACGTGACTAAGTGCACAAGTCCAAATGCTTCTTAAACGCCGACAGGCTTGGTGCAGTCACTACTTGCCTGGGGAGCCCGTTCCAGTGTGCAACAACCCTCTCAGTGAAGAACCTCTTCCTGATGTGTAGCCTAAGCCTCCCCTGCCTCAGGTTGACGCCATTCCCTTGGGTCCTATCACTGGGGACTGAAGAGAATAGATCGGTACCTGCCCGTCCACTCCCCCTCGCGAGGAAGCTGTAGACTGCGACGAGGTCTCCCCTCAGCCACCTCGTTTCCAGGCTGAACAGGCCCAGTGACCTCAGCCGCCCCTCATACGTCTTCCCCTCTAGGCCCTTCGCCATCTTTGTAGCCCAGTATCTTACTGACTTGAAGAAAGAGGCTTTAATCTGTCCTGGTTTGTTTACCAACAAAGGAGCACAAAAGAGACGCGTGTCCTTGCCTCTGAAGAGGAGGTGAAGGAAGAGCCAGTGCAAGGAACACAAAAATCAGTTGCGCCAGACTAACACGTGGTTGTATCTG